TCATTTTGCTTTTTAGAACCCCGTCCCCCTAAATAAAACTTCTTGCGCTTGCTTTAACTAATTTACGACCTATGGGGATGGTTGGTTCGGGATTTAGAAAAGGTTGGGTTGAAATATACTCATTTGATTCCTTAGGATTTTCTATAAAAGGCTAAGTTTGACTTTGGTCAATATTTTGAGCAAACGGACCCAGATTCGTGTTTTGACGATCCCGGAGGGTCCGTGGGAAAATATGGGACCTAGGTGTATGCCCGGAATCGAATTCCAAGGTCCCTAGCCCGAGTAATAAATTTTTATTAGAAATTGTTAAACTGAAATTCTAAAGATTTAAAGAAACTAATTAATGATTGATCACGTTGGTATCAGGCTCGTATGTTGGTTCCGGAGCCCAGTACATGTCCAAAATAACATTTAAGACTTCCCCGCAAAATTTGGTGTCAATCCGAGTAGTTTATGGGAGTTTCGGCTCGTTAAAGGAAAATTAAGAACTTGAAGTTCATAAGTTTGATTCAATTGATTTAGAGGGGTGATTCTTAGATTTAGCGTTATTTCGAGCGTTCCGAAGGTTCGAGTAGGTCCGTTTCATGATTTTAGACTTGTCGGTATGTTCGGGCGGGGCCCGGGAGCCCCAAGCATCAATCGGATGAGGCTCGAGTGAAGTTGGAAATGTTGAGAAGGGCTGAAGCATCTGCTTCTATCATAACCGCACCTGCGGTTAGTCGACCGCAGGTGCGAGACCGCAGAAGCGATCAGCCTATCTCAGATGCGGCCAAGGTAGGCCAGGCCTAAAACCGCAAAAGCGACTCCTAAGCCGCAGAAGCGGTCGCAGCCCGCTTGGCCGGTTCCGCAGATGCGTCCAATTTCTCGTAGAAGCGGGACCGCAGATGCGTCCCCTGACCGCAGATGCGGAAATCGCAGAAGTAGTGAGCTTCATTTAATACGGGTTCTAAGTCATTTTTGCCACTTTTCACTCCTCCATTGGCGATTTTGGGATCTTTTGAGAGAAGACTTCCACCTAGCATCTTGAGGTAAGTTTATCCCACCTATTCTTAGTTTAATACTTGTGTCTTAGGTAGATTAAACACTAGAATTTAGGTAAAATCAAGGGGTTAGAGCAAAACCTAGGTTTTTGACAAAAGTTAGATTTAACCACAAAATTTGTTATGAAATGAATTAGAAATCATATATTATTGATCCTTAGGTTATAGAGAACAACTTCCTTCGAAAAATTTCGGAATCCGGGCACATGGGCCCGGAGTCGAATTTTAGGAAACTTGTGTTAAGGGTTGGAAAATTGCTTAAATAGCTAGAATACGATCTTGTGAGCTTATATTGACTAGTTCCTACCTCATTTAACTAGTTTTGGATCGTTCGGCTCCAAATTGAGAGTTTGGGCTCGTTCTTGGCATTTGGAAGTATACTTTGGAGCGAGGTAAGTCTCCTTTCTAACCTTGTAAAAGGGAATTGTCCCCATAGATGTAATAATTGAATAAATTGCTACTATATGCGGGGGCTACGTACGCACTAGGTGACGAGAGTCCGTGCGTAGCTACTATTATGCTAAGTCCAAGTAGTCTAGGACCCAAAAGCATGTTCTATGTGATATTTTTGTAACTTTATATTGAATTCGGATTTGTATAAATCATGTTAATTAAGGTAAATGAGACTAGTAAGAGGAACATTATCTTTCTTGGCCTTTTAAAGAGAAAGTGATTATTTCTGTGAGTAACTGCTTCCCAGATATACACTATTGTCTGCCTATTGTTGTGTTTATTTATGTTTGACCATGTCGCATGTTTGATTCGCGAGCAGAGTAATAGATGCATCTATGGTTCGTGCCGTTCGACCCTCGGCAGTGCACAATTTACTTTTATGTTGGATCGGGCCGTACAACCCTCGGCAGTACTTGCGCATGCTTTATTTAGTATTTTTCTGTGGACCGAACTTCGTATCTGCCTTGAAATGTAAATGATTAACAATGATTATCTGGAAAAAGGAATTGTTATACCTTGTCATGAAATGCTAATTAATTGTATTATCCATGCTTAGTATAAATTCTTTCTCATATTATTTGACCCTAGTAAGTATCAAGTCGACCTCTCGTCTTTACTTCTTCGAGATTAGACGGGATACTTACTCGGTACATATTGTTTATGTACTTATACTATACTTCTGTACTTAATTGTACAGGATCTGAGGCAGGTATCTCTAGTTATCAGTCCGGTGCGCATCCCTGAGCAGATTTCGAGACTTCTACGGTGAGCTGCTTCCCTTCCCATGCCATTCAACAGCTTGATGGAGTCTCTCTTATTTATTTTAGCTGTTTATTCTATTTCGGACAGTAGGATAGATTGATTCTTTTGTATATTCTACTAGTTGCTCACAACTTGTAACACCAGATCTTGGCACACACATTAGCAGACTATTATTTTGGGGTTGTATAATTATTTTTGACACATTGTTGATCATTTATGGTTTTTACTTTAACTTAAGGAATTGCGGCACTTATTTTTGGTGAAAGTAAAATGAGAACTTAATTATATTTTCGCGTTGGCTTGCCTGACAATGGTGTTAGGTGCCATCACGATCTATTATGGAAATGGATCGTGACACATTTGCTATTGGTTTTCCTGGTAGTATAATTCCCATGACATATTCAGCGATTATGTTCAAGCCTGGGGTCTAGTTTGTTGTAGCTGTTATGATGCAGAAGCAAAGCATTAAATCACCAAGAAGGTATGTCTTTGTATTCCCTCATAAGTCTTGTGTGAATATACTCCTTTCCCTTGTATGAAGCGTGGAATCTTTCATAGATTTTCCCACACATTACAAGTAAATAATAAAGACAATCCTTTACCACGATTGTTGTAGTTATTAACAAATAATTCTCATCCATATTCATAGTTCCATTTATTTATGGAATTTGCTGCTAAACAACTATAAATAAGTAGCAGTTGAGGTGTCAAAAGTTTGGACAAGTTTAAAATAGACTGACAAATCAACTTTTGGGAAGACGAAACATGTATTTCTATTGAGTTGAAGAAACTTTAACTTGGTATGGCAGCTCAGATGGTCTGTGAGATATGGGTAAAATTCTACCTTTTATATGTTTGAATCTAGAACATTTTAAGACTTACTAATGATCGGCAAAGGATAGATAGAAAGCAAATATTCCTTGACTGGAAGAAGCACCAATTGATGACGAAACTCAACAGTTTTCAGTCTGACATTTTATAAACCATGTGGGACTTATTTAACTTATTCCTTTATTCTTCGGAATGATCATCAATATATTATTATTTCATTTGGTCAATTATCTAAATCTTCTCCATATAGTATTCTCCTGGCACACATTCCATTAGTAAATGGTGAGTCATTATTCTCTTTTAAGAGAGATTTTTACCAAAAGACTCTTGCAAGTCTCCTTTTAAGACCGTAACCCCAGACTTTTTAACCAAAAGGACCATGTAATTCTTGATCTAGAGGAAACTAAAATTTTAATTAGAAAATCCCCACAGACGGCGCCAAATTATTTGAGGAAAAAAAAGTATGAGACCCTTTTTGTTAAACTAATTAAATAAGAAGATGGAGGGTAAATCCTAGTTAAAGATAATTAACTCTAAATCCGAGATGAATAATATGAATAGAAAAACATAGCCGAGTATAAGTGTTGGCAGTGATTATGGCCAGATTTAATAGCATAAAGAAAGATGCATTAAGTAACATTAAGTGACAATAAAATGTAAATAAAGGAAAAGATTCACCAAATCTTGAGTGAGACAGATCCTCTTAATGAATGATAGGGAGATACAAGAACCTTAGGACCCTTTTTGGATCTGATCAAAGTATGGGATCGCAGATCCTCTCATCTCTTTAGAGAGGTGTGTTTTCCTCCCTTTTTCCCTAGCTAGAGAGAGGGAGAGAGCCCATATTCATATTTATAAGGGGTATCCCTAGAAAACCATAAAAGTTTTTGAGAATTTCAAAGCATACTAGCTATTTCATCACTGTACGACCTCGGCCAGTTGATGACTATCCGACCTCGGCCTCAATTATGACTGTCCGATCTCGGTCAATTGATGACTGCCCGACCTCGGCCAATCCGACCTCGGTCAATTGATGATTGTCCGACCTCGGCCAATTGATGACTGTCCGACCTCGGTCAATTGATGACTGTCCGACCTCGGCCTGTCCGATCTCGATCTTAATTATGACTGTTCGACCTCGGCAAATTGTCTCCGCATGTCGAATTTCTCTGACATGATTTTGACCCATACAATGTCAAATACTCAAATAATTACAATAATTCTTCCAATTTGTATATTTTTTTCTTTTAAGTATTTTTTCTTAAATTACAATTTCTATCTATCTTGATCTTTTTTTTTCCCAGTACTTCAGCTATATAGTAAAAAATGCTTTGCGTATCCAAAATGAATTATGGGATATTTACGCAAATAGCCGGCCGAATTCACTGTTTACGTTTTATGGTTAATATATATAGATTAAACACTAATTATATACAGACATGCATATATTAAATAAGGATCTTGCATATATTATACATCCTCCAATTATTTTTAGAGCTCGTTTGGACATAAGAAATTTTTATTTTTTTCGAAATCAGTGTTTGGTCATAAAATTTCTAATTTTCACTTGAAGATGCATTTTGGAATTTTTTGAAAATTTGAAAAACTCCAAAAAGCTGTTTTTTAAAATTTTCACTCATATCACTCACCAAACTTCAAAAATAACCCCAAATTATATTCATGTCCAAACACAACTCTAATTTTCAATTAGCATTTTTATTTTTTTTAAAATTTTACAATTCTTATGTCCAAACGCCCACTTAGTTTAAGCGGGTGGATGAGAGGCTATTTAGGTGAATTCTTCATGAAAATATTCCCAAAAAGGAAAATAAAAGAAACCGGCAAAACTGGAATCAGATTCCACGTTGAATTCCTCCANCGGCCCGAAAGGATCACTTTCACACGAAAAGGCGTGGACGACACACGCCCCTCTATAAATTCCGCTCCACCTTGCAGTCAGCACCAGCACTCAACAGCAGCAGCAACCAAAGAGTGAACCAATAAAACAATGCAATCTCTACAGGAAAAGGCTTCCGAATGGAGTGGGGTTGACCCGAATGATGCATTCGCCATTGATGAAACCAATCTCTTTGAAAAGCTTGGCCTTCAGACTTTCATCAATTTATCTACCAATTTCTATAACAGGTTCATCCTTCTAATATCCGAATAAAACAAATTATGCTCAAAACAAATATTTTTTCTTGATGGGTTTTCAATTTCTCTAAATGGGTATTCAAGAAAATTCCTTAAAGTTTGAGACTTTGATTGAATTGAATTAGTTAATATTTTGGGTTGAGCTTTCTGTTCTGTGTGCCTCACTCTCTGCTTTTCTATTTTTTTCTTGGTGAAGAAAGTCAGCATGGGTATTTTCTTATTGTTAAAAGATTGGCTTTATCTTTTCCTATTCGATTTGCATGGTTCCCTAACTTCTCTTTTTTTTTTTTTGGAGGGGGGCTGGGCTTGGGAGAAGGGTGGGGTGGGATTAGTGACGATTTGTGGATCTTTGATTATATTAATTCTTTCTTTTTTGTTGTAAAGATTGATAACAAATGTCTGTGTTTATGGTTGTTACAGACTTATAGTTATACTTCCAAAAGAGTTGAGCTGTATTTGTCCTTGTTACATTTGCACAGTGCCAAGAGGTGTTGAGAGGATCCTAAAATTGTTGTATCTTTGTTGTATAAGCATCTTTCAATGTCAAGGAAACGATTTGGTGATACAAGTTACTGTGCATAATAAACTGGATTCTGGAATGCTGGATTTTTATTTAGTTTACTTGTTTGGGATGAAGTTCTAGATTATTCTAATTAAGAGTTGTCTACTTTTTCTTCTCAAAAATGGTTTGCCCTGAAGACGTCTGGTTTGTGTTCTAGAAAATGATATAGGTTTTATAATGATGACTGATGAGGATTGAGGAATGCCAGTGATTAGCATTTTAATTAGTTTTTATTTGAACTTCTTCTCTGTTATATTTGCATGGTTTCACAAAGAAATATCTTCGCGGACTCTCCAAATTGCTGGCACACCTGTGTCGGATTCTCCAAAAAAGCACTACTGTGGAGGATCCAACATCCATTCAACGATATTTTCGGAGAGGCCGAGTAAAATAGCCTATAGGCCATGGGTCGAGCAGTGGAATCAGCGACTGACTGGTTGCGTCATGGTAGATTGCCTACTTCACACCCCTTTAGGGTGCGGCCCTTCCTCGATCTTGCGTGAATGCGGGATGCTTTGTGCACCGGGCTACCTTTTCTTTTCTTTTTTTACTTGTTGAACGTGAAGGTGGTTAACTGCCTTTTCTGCTTTTTATCTTCTCTGATGGTTTTACCCTTCATGAGGGAAGACATCTGACTCTTGTTTTTGGGATTGGAATTAGGGTCTATGATGATGAGGAAGAGTGGTTTCGTTCAATTTTCTCTAATTCAAGTAAAGAAGATGCCATTAGGAATCAATATGAGTTCTTTGTACAAAGAATGGGAGGGCCTCCTTTGTACTCACAGAGAAAAGGTAAGCAATGTTTCCCAAAGTCCTTATTTTATACCCAGCTTTGCTATTCTTGTTCATACTCAATTTGCCAATGGTAGTTACTAATGCACTTTTAGGTGAACTCCGGTCTTGAGACGGTTAATCTACTTTCTATCATAACTTTCATATTGAACTTTTAAAATGTTATTAAGATTGGAAACACTAAAGTTAACCAGATAACTTCTTGATATCTTTTTGTTCAACATTTCTTTCTTTGATATTATATGTTTGATAATTCAATATTGCATTTATAAACATCAAGTCGGTGTCAAAATAATATGTACAAGTTGTGTAAGTGACTCCAACAGAGTCATCCACCATTGTCTATTAAATTTGCCAACTACGAACACAAAATAGTATCCTCTCCTTACACCAGACATGCAATTGAAATAAGGAGGATCTTTTAGTGCTTTGTATTCCTGAATGTCGGCGATCCTTCAGCAAATGGAAATTAGTTGTCATTTCAATTAGTTGAGCAATGGAGAAAGAAACTGCCAGCAAGGTAGCTTGAGAAATCCCATTTTGGCGAGTTTAGAGTGCCTTTGTCTTGTTTGTAAGTTTTTGGTGTAAGATTTAGGATTTATTAACGGATGATCACTTTTTGGCCTTGAAATTATTTTGATGGCTTTCTCACATCATCTTGGCGTGTTAATATTGCTTGTGATTTTTCAAAGCAAAATATAACTAGGGAGAAAACAGACAGTAGTGATTCTTTCCTTCAGCATTAGAGCAGTTAAAACTGAAGAGTACTGTATGATATCATGAAAAGTTCCCGTTTAATGATGACATCACTGGAGATTTCAGTCTATTGATAAGTTTTCACTTTTTGATTTACTGATGAAGTCGTTGACATAAAGGAAGTTTTCTTCGCTAGTCAATTCTCTTTCACAAAACTAGTAATTCCGATGCCATATCCAGCATTGGCAAGCTAGGCTGTGGCTTGGAGGATAATTATCTATTTCTTTTTGGTTTCAATTTTAGAGTAAAGAAAGAAGCTGGTGGAAACTATTCTTTAAATCGGTAGAAGCAGATGAAGAGCCCGTTTGGATTGGCTTAAAAAAAGTAACTTTACAGCAGAAATAGCTTTTAAGCCAAAAAGCAGTAAGTTGGGATTGCCCAGCTTATTGCTTTTGGCTTGTTTTAAGCAGTTTTTAACTTATTTTAAGCACTTTTTGACTTTGCCAAACACTGAAAAAAGCTAAAAAAAAACTAAAAGTTGATTTGACCAGCTTAAAAGCCAATCCAAACACCCTCGAAATCTTGTTTGTTGGAAACATGGGAAACTATTTAAGGAGGGTTTGGCCTAATAAAGCTCAGGTTGGCACTTCATCTCGCTTAGGCAGCACTTTGCTACAAACACCAAGATGCTAAAACGTGACCTTAGGACGAAAATAAACAGTAAATATAGTTTGCATAGCGATATATAAATTTTTTTCTAGTAGAAAGTTATAGATGAATGTGTTAGTGAGTAGGATAGGAAATAAAAACTTAGTATAAATACGGGTTAAAAATTAAAATTTGCATCCTTCCATATGAACCAACAATTTTTAATATGGCTTTTGAACTTTGATGGATGTGGTTTTCACTTCATGTTCGCTTGATTGCATTATTTTTTTTAAAAATTTCTTCCTCCACGTGACTCTTTTTGCTGTTTGCAATTAATTTTTGTATTCATCTACCCCTTTCTTCACTAAAAAGTGAACTTTAATTGTGCTTTGTTCTTAAAGCTCCAACAGAATGTTCTCCTACAGTTTCGCCTTCAACTACTGTAGAAATAATGAGGTCAGGTTCTTGAGTCATATAACACACAACTAGTTTCTCCCTCTTTTATACAGTATCGCGATTCTTGCTGCTAACCAATGACACCTCTCACCCATGTCCCAATTGTCTTTATTAGCTGGAAGATAGTAACTAGCTTTGATTGTCATCTCTACTAGTTTTCTTATTCTTGTTGTCTTAGACTCTTTCGAATAAAACATTGGCTATCACTCTTTCGAATAAAACATGTTTTCTACTCAGACATAGCTACTGCAAATCAACTGTTTACCCATTCAGTCATTACCACACTGCATTCTATCTCCAAGATAGTGGCTTTGGAGAGATTTGCTAGATTAGTACGATTAATCTTTTATGCCTAAAAGATCTCCTCTGCCACTGTGATAGGCTTATTCATTGGTTGAAAGTTTTGGTCAGCAGTTTGTGTCATTTGGGTTTGAATGGATTATTCCACTTTTCTGCATCTGCCAAAACCGGAAAACTCTTCTCCTGCTTAACAAATGTTTTTGACTTTCGTGAACACGAGAAAAGTGAACTACTTTAAAAATTGATAAAATATCAAAAATGGAAAAGCTTCTTGGGACTGAGGTGTGACTCCTATATTTTACTTCTTTTCGGGGTTTACATGGAGGAGACAGATTAAACCTGTAATCTATGTCACTATTGGACTTTGTTAAAATTAAGCATTCTCCTTGGGACAGTTTGGGTGTATATCAACAAATCAACCTCCAACTTCTTAGTGTTCATTCTAGTTCGGGTGGTAGATATTTCAGGTTGAACAGCTAATTAATTCTCCAGATTAAGTTTCTTCCTACCTTGAGACGATACGGGAATGTGATGTCAAACATGGATGGTTCTAAGACTTCCTTTGGATGATTGGAGACAAGTTAGTTGGAAGTAGAAATTCATTTTTCTCCCCTATAATATATTTTCAGTGGGTATTATTTCACTTATATGAGTTGTGCTTCATGTAGTTAGTGAAACTGTAAGGACCTTTCAAACTTGGACTTTGTGCAGGCCATCCAGCATTGATTGGTCGCCACCGCCCATTTCCAGTCACTCATAAGGCTGCAGAAAGATGGTTACACCATATGCAACAAGCACTAGATAGTGTTACAGACATTGATGAAGATTCCAAAATTAAAATGATGAACTTTTTCAGGTAAACGCAAATCCCATGGATCTCCCCTTACTATGTCTATTTTTGCTGATAGTAAGCATTTGTAAAAATTACGTTCATTTGCTTTTCAGGCACACAGCATTCTTTCTGGTAGCTGGAGATGAGTTGAAGAATCCAAACCAGGGTGTTGCATGCAAGCATGCTACCAACAAGCCAGCTGCAGCATAAACTTATACCAAAATTGATCAAAGAATTAACAATAATGTACACTGAATATTTTCCTTATGATCATTCAATCAATCAAATCTGAGAATCTATGATCTCAGTTATTGAGCCTACATGTTTATGCTTTGATTTGTTATTGCTCCAGGGAGAAAGGTTGTAGATACACCGACTCTACAATTCATTAATGTAGCAGGAAGAAAGACGTGGATACACGAAGCCATTCTCATGAGACTTGAAGGTATTAGGTCATATATCCTCCTGGAAATCTCGTGAGACAGAAGAAATCCCGACTCTACAAAACTGAAATCTTCGTTATTTATGAAGAGCACTTTGGTTAAACGAAAACAATTGAATTAAACCAAGAAAAAACACACAAGTCTTTATTTACGACAACAAAAGCTTAATCTGTGTCAAACTTCCAATTCACAATGATCAAGAAATCAAACATATTGTTTATTAATGGACCAAAGTATGACCCATAAATTCTTTCCTACGAGACATTCTAGAGGGATGAGCATATCTAGCTGAAAATGACCTACAAAGATTATCAGGCTCTACTTTTTCTGACCCTTGATCAAAATTCTGCACAACCAGAAGAAGAAGAAGAAGTAGTATTATTATTGAAGCTTTTTTTCTTGTGCACTTTGAGTCTCCTCCAAAAAGCTAGCCACCTTGGTGATGAAGAAGAAGAAGCACATGATGATTGTAATCTTTCCCAAGCCTAACACTTTTGCTCCAATTCCCTTTCCCAATTATCCTCATTTTTTCCTCAATAGCTTTGAGATTTGCATATAATTCAACAAATCTATGGCCTTTTATAGATATTGGCTACTTTTGAGACTCTCATGGGATGTTGATTCCCTTTGCCCTTTGATTAGACAAAAGCAAATTAAACTAGTGGTGTGGAAGCATTCTTTAAAGATAATTAACAGTTATACCTAAAATTCCAAAAGGATATTTAGTAACTTTTTTTTAGGTATACCATACCATGTCAATCTTTTTAGGATATGACTAACATATAGTAGTAGTATTTAATAACTTTTCAATTTCTAAAACGTTAAGTATTTTAAAATAAATCCAGTTTGTCAAAACGACGAATATTTAGGACCCAATAACAAATACTACCAAACAGAAAACCAAAAATATAGATAAGCTTTATTCATTTACTGTTTAATATATATATATATATATATATATATATATATTGCATCACACGAAACATGATGTAATTAAGATGGTCGAAGATTAGTCCACCTAGTTATTTTCAGAATAATTGCTTGGTAAGATGTCTTTTTATGAAATTACACAATTTATCTAACTAGGAAAGTGATTGCAACATGCCATTGTATCTCAGACCAAAAGAATAATAAAGGAGGAGCGACCTACAATTTCTTATTTTTGCAGGCGCAAAAGTAGAATTGATGAATAGGGTTTCATGTGACTATTCCTTCCCTATTATGGTATCATTATTTTTCTGCACTGTTGGGTCATTCCTAAAAAAATTCAACTAATAAATAAACAGTAAATGAATAAAGCGTATCTATTTTTTTGGGTTTCTCGTTTGGCGTTTGTATCGGTATTGGAGTCCCAATAAATTCGAATTCGTGCCGCATAATACCTATTAAAGAGGAACACATTTCCTACTAAGATTTTATTTTTTTTTAAATTTTCGTAGCTCGAACCCTTAATTTTTTTTACTTTTTGTAATCGGACTTTGGTATGCTTGAGCGATGTAGATGTATTCGTTTCAATTGTAAAAATCTCTTCTTCTATTTGTTACCAGTGTTATAATAAGAGTACAAATTTTATATTAGTTTAGATTAAATGCTTCCAAAATTAGGGGTGAATTTACCATAGCTTTATATATAAAACATTTAAACATTTTTCAATTTACGGATACAATTTAAAGATAATACAATACATTAAAGTACGATATAATATCTAAGAAGTGCACGAGGAGCATCTTCCTGCACAAGTAGACATACTTTATGACATAAATAACAAAAGTTCACTGAAATTTTGAATTTACTAATATAGCAATTGAGGGTGTGTTTGGTACGAAGGAAAATATTTTTCGGAAAATGTTTTTCAATTTTTTCATGTTTGGTTGGCTTAAATATTTTGGAAAATATTTTCCTTATGAACTCATTTTCCTCCAATTGGAGGAAAATGTTTTCCTTATCAAGAGAAGGGAAAATGTTTTCCAAAACTCCTTCTCAACATTCCCTACCCTCACCAACTCACCCCACTCTCCTCTCCAAAAAAGGCTCTTTTTTTTTAAATTNAAAGTTTACATGTTTAGAAATTATAAAGTTTACGGGTTAGAAATTCCGTGGTTTCGAAAGTTTATAAAAAATGTGGGTTCGGAAGGTTGTTGGTTTGAAAGTTTATGACTTCATGTTTATTATATCTAAATTATTTATAAATATTCTTGAGAAGTCATTTTCCTTAATTTGCGTACCAAACACCGAAAAATGAATAAGATTACTACTTGTTTTCCAAGAAAATATTTTCTTGGAAAATATTTTCACGGAAAACATTTTCCGTTATACCAAACACACTGTGAGTTTTAGATTTTTCACTTTCCACTTTAATCGTGCTATAGTTGTCATTTTATTTTGTACGACCACTTCTAAATTCTAATCCAAATTGACTAAGATAAAAAGATGATCTAATATCATAGTGTGTTTTTTTTGGGTGAATAAACGATGTTTAAAATTACAATATAGAAATTTGGCTCACGCAAATACTCACTTAATTTATGAGTACTCTTTTTAAAAGAAACAAGCATGTTAATTTGACTAGTTTTAACTTGAAGCAAGATTTTTAGAGGTTGCTACTAAACCAGGATTATGCATTGTGTCATAATTAGGAGCACCAAAACTAGTGGTCCAAAGGAACGTGGAAAGGTAATTAAAGACATTGAGCCGAAAGACTTCCTTCTTATTCAAATTTTTAACTCCACAAGACTATCATATTATTTCTCTCATCATTGCTAAACTTTTCCTTGAAACACTGGATATTCTTCTTCCACCCAAAATTATTGTAAAAACACTTATATCGGGTGTTTACACCAACACAATATATATATATATATAGGCGGATCTAGTGCATGGACTATGGGTTCTCGGAAACCCAGTAACTCTTGCGTAGGCTCTGTATTTATATTAAGAAATTTACTAAATATTGGTAAATATCTGTGTGAACCCAGTTATTATTGCATATTAATCTAAAATTACGGTAGGAACTCATAAGCCTCAAATCCTAAATCCTCCTCTATATATATATAATACGTAATCACTCGATGTAGATAAGTATTTATTAACCTAAATGTGTTCACAATCAGAAAACCAGGAAAAATGTTAGATGAACAAAACAAAAAGAAAAAAAGAAAAGTTTCCAGTGTCTAAAAAATGAGGCTTATCTTCTATATTTATAGCCAACAAAATTTGGATCTCAACGGGTGCAAAGATGCATGTTTATGGAAAAAGTATCATTTGGTAGAAATTAAGTTGGTCGCGAATTACATATTCTGAAACGACCGTCGGGAAAAAGGAATTTGTCAACGACACAAAGCTTGTTCTCTTCTCAAACTCTTTAAGAGCTACAAGAAATATTTTTCTATATAAGCACAAGGATTTTCTTTTTATTTTTCGAGGGAAAAAGAAGGTGTTTGGCTAAGCTTATAAGCTGGTCAAACTAGCTTATAAACACTTTTCGGCTTATCTATGTTTGGTAAAGTTAAAAGTGCTTATAAGCCAAGTGCGTATAAGTCAAAAATAAGCCAAAAATCATAAGTTGGTCACCCCCAGCTTATGAATTTTTAGCTTATAAACACTTTAAATTTGACCAAGATTTTNTTGACCAAAATTTTAACTATTTTATCCTTAAAATATTCCTTTTTAGAACAAAACTCTTACATCGATACTCACTGCCTCAAGTATTTTTTTCAACCTAAACCCCCCGGCTCTTCAAGTCTGCAATTCTCATTGACTATTCAAGATAAGCAAATTCTCTATTCCTTTGCATATTTGTATTTATGTGATTGTGTATTAATCTTTGAACTATATGTAATAAATGAGGACATATTAAATTTTTGGTGTATTGCTTTCTAAGTGTTGTGGTGATGAAGATAGTGTTTGTTTCTCTTCAAATATTTTATCCTATTTAGGTTTATTTTTTACTGAGAAACTTTTGTCAATCTATTAATTATTATAACTTGTGATTATATGCTTATCATAAAATAAATTATATTTATCATAAAAGTTATCTTATTCTAAGCACAATTGTATTTAAAATAAAATGACAAATAGAATATTTTGTACCTGAATCGATCTGGAATCTAAAATTTTAAAGAAATTACGCCCTTATAAGTGTAAACAGTTCTAAGGTTATTTAGATCATTTTAACATAAAAAGAGTTTATCAACATTTTTTTATCAAATACTGCAGCAACTTATTATCAATTTCAGCACTTGTATCCAAACACGTAACTGCTTATTATTAAATCAGTTCATCATTTAAAAGTACTTTTCAGCACTTAAAAGTATTTTTCAGAACCTAATGCTTATCAGCTAATCCAAACGGGCTCAAACTCCCTTAGTAAAAAATGAGCATTTCCAAGATTTTCATTTTCCCTCCAATTTTTTTCCTTTGATTTCCTATTCACACCTTAACTCAAATCTACCTAATGCTTATCAGCTAATCCAAACGAGCTCAAACTCCCTTAGTAAAAAATGAGCATTTCCAAGATTTTCATTTTCCCTCCAATTTTTTTCCTTTGATTTCCTATTCACACCTTAACTCAAATCTACCTAATGCTTATCAGCTAATCCAAACGGGCTCAAACTCCCTTAGTAAAAAATGAGCATTTCCAAGATTTTCATTTTCCCTCCAATTTTTTTCCTTTGATTTCCTATTCACACCTTAACTCAAACCTAACAATATTTACCCCCAAAATTACCTCCTTCCTTTAATTTTAAAAAAAAATATTCTTATCACCTTGGAAACACAATATACAAAGGAGATAGGTGTTGACTATCGGATGGTCTCGTTTGGTTGCTAGTTACACATCGTCCTATATTCGTGAAATAAGAAAACAAACGTAGAAGAAATACGTACATTATGAGAATCCAAATGAACGGAGGGATCAAACACTCGTACTAAAAAATTAGTAATAATCTTTAAAGAACAAGAAATTGTATCACAAAAAAAGAAAAGAAAAAGATGTAAATTATGCAGGGCAGTTATATCTTGTCATACCCGAATTGTTATCGCGTCGAATAGATGTTGATGAGTTAGATGTGTTGCTTTGGGGCTCTTTAGTTTCCAAGGTTGATCCTCAGTAGTCTTATACTATTGACGGTTACCCTAGAAATATTTCTAATTATTCACACAACATTGAGGCCGTCAAATGATGCAAGTCTTGGATAAAAATCTATAACACACTAGGATGTTCTTGTTGACGATCCTTTACTTTGGCAGAATCTGGAATTACTCAAATAATTATAATATCTCACACGGGATATATAAATTCTTAAACCTTCAACTCTTACTAAGACTGGCCAATACCGAGTAATGAAATTACGATTATTATTATTATTATTATTATTATTATTATTATTATTATTATTATTATTATTATTATTATTATTATTATTTCCTTTTTATGGTGAGTTGAATTGGTGGAACTCTCTACAACTTAGGAATTAGTTCTGTACTTGTCATCAGATAGGTAAACATGTCAACAGGGACGAGCAAGCTCCAGATTAATTGACAATATTGATCAAAGAACTCATGATAATGATATATGTGTAACAACAACAACAACAACCCAATAAAATTTCATTAGTGGGGTCTGGGGATGATAGTGACTCTCGGCTCAAG